TTGGCTGGACACCAGCCATGCATGAATTTGTGCACCAGACCTCTAGTAAAAATATAAAAAGCAAAACAGTCCATCCAAAACTTTAAGGTATGCATAGGTTTTTAATTATGCTTTTCTGTTTCATGACCCTTCCTGTTCCTACTATGAAAAACAAGGCAAATTCTTGGCTAATTGGTTAAGGTATTAGCACTGTTTGTAATGACAATTTGCTTCTACTTTTCTTTTTTTGTGACTAGGGAGAGGAAATAAGCTCTTGGTGGAGAGTACCAATGATACGAACAACTTAGGCTGGCATGCTTTAATTTTGCTTCCCAACAAACAATAAATGGGGGGAAAAAGTGAAGTTGATACTGCATGTCATTCAGGAATTAAAATCGGTCTACAATATTAATCCTGTGCTAAAACTCCTCCTGTAATATCAGTGTTGATGGTCCCAATGGACAAAGTGATTAGAATAGAAGGCCACCCAGTTCAGGGGTCAGCTCTAGACATGGTCTCAATTATTTTTATTATTGTTGTTGTTATTGAAACAGAGTTGTGATCATTGGAGTGAAGTTGTTTTTGACTGGTAATTACATCAAGTGAAGTTGTTTTTGACTGGTAATTACATAATCAAATTCATCACATGAAGCAGCCATTTGGAAGCTATGGTCATTATCACGTAAATGCTCTTTGAGTAGATAGCTATAGCCGTGGGGATAGTTAAGGGAGATTCACTTTACTCTAACTGAGGAAATGAAAGAAAAATAATAATTTGCCAAATGATTTCTTTCCAGGTTTTACAGAAAGGCAGTCAGGTCTTAATAAGTTTCCTGGCATTTATAGAAGTCTGATGTTTTGGCCACAGTACTAATTATCCTTAACCTAAAAGCAGCAAGGAGGACATCTCCCTCTTTACTGGTTTCTTGGTTCCTGGATTTGCTGTTTTTAGAGCAGGAAGGGAGTAACTGCCCTGAATCCACAGTCTGAAGGAAGGGCTGTTGAAAAAATAGGTCTCTCTTATCTCTCATATTTCTTCGAATGAAAGAGAGATATGCCTTTGTTTGTTGGCACACAATTTTAGTTGTGATTATGTTTGTTGACAGCCGGGGGGGAAAATAGTTTATTCATATCTTCTAGTATGATGATATCGTGTGTGTGTGTGTGTGTGTGTGTGTGTGTGTGTGTGTGTGTTTGTACATACCTGGGTATATTTTTGGATTATAGGAGTCAATACATTTTTGGAATACTAGTTATAAAGATGGTTTCTGAACATTGCACTAGTCTTACAACATTTTCTTCCTTTTAAAGATCTATATTATATTAAAATCTCTGGCAAGTCCCAAAGTAGAGAGACATTTGAACTTGGCTTGATTGACCCAGAATTTGCCCCAATTTGACTATGAAGTCTTTTTCTTTTTTTCCCCAGGTAATGATTAATAATGATATCTCAATTCTGTAAACATCATTAGGAAATTCTGAATTAATAATTTTCCAGAAGGCTTGGGATTGCTACAATAAAAAAGCCTAATGTGCGGCGGTATACAGAGGAATATGACAATGTAGACTGATGTATTTTAAAGTTTCTACTGGCTTCTTTAAGATTAATTTAGTTACTTCCACTTCTCTAAGCTTTGACCTGTTGAAGCACTAGTAAGCCACCCAAATGTAAAATTATTTCTATGCAAGTAGCTGCCAATAAAGGAGCTTACTTAAGGTTGTATTTTTTTATTTTTTAATTTAACTGAATGTTCTTTTCCTGAAGTAACTTGCTAAACCAATTCTACTAAGTGAATCAATAACATTACTGCCTGTTTCTTCTACCATTTGATACTTAGTGAAATTGGAACAAAAAATGTATAGTCCCCCTGCTTAGAAACATATACTCACTCCTGCCAGAAAAACAAGACACAGCAACAAACAAAGAAAACTTGCCTGAGCCCTAGCTGGTTTTGCTCAGTGGATAGAGCATAGGATTGTGCACTGAAGGGTCCTAGGTTCGATTCCAGTCCAGAGCACATGCCTGGATTGTAGGCTAAATCCCCAGTAGGGGGCATGCAGGAGGTAACTGATCAATGATTATCTCTCATCATTGTTGTTTCTATCTCTCCCTCTCCATTCCTCTCTGAGATCAATAAAAATATTAAAAACAAATAAACAAAAACCCTGCCCGACTGGTGTTGCTCAGTGTTTGAACTTTGATCCATAAACCAAGAGGTCACTGATTTGATTCCCAGTCAGGACACATGCCTGGACTGTGGGCTCAGTCCTCAGTAAGGAGAGTGCAGGAAGCAGTCAATGGATGCTTATCTCTCATTGATGTTTCTATATTTCTATCCCTCTCCCTTCCTCTTTTCCTCTAAAAATCAATAAAAACATATTTTTAAAATAAGAAAATATTCCTTTGCTATCTGAGGATTCCAATCTTTGGTGTTATTTGAAATATCAACAAGCAATATTTAACATGACAAATCCTTTTGATGCTTTAGGTTACTCAGTAAATAGAAATTTGGGGCTATTTTGATTAAAACTAAGTGAGAAAGATCTGAATTTATTTAATCTTTGCCTGATAGAGGAAAGAACAGGGTTATTAATTTACTACTATAAGAAACACTTCATTTGGTTAATGTTTTAGAGCTAAATATAAAGTAGGCCAGATATGCTGGAAAATTAAGCACTTATTTTAGATTATTACCAGAATATTCTGCCAGGAAATTTATTAATGTAAAGGCTACTTCTGAACCTCCTTTTCCCCCGCCCCACCCTGCCTTTTTAGTGTAATTAATTTCTTAAAAACATAACTATGACTTTATGAAACAACACACAAACACTAAAGAACTTGTCTACTGGGATAAGACTGTAATCTTGATGAAGGACACAATGTAAATAACTTTATTGTGCTTGAAGTAAAAACCACAGATATCTTTTCGAGGTTATGCTGCATAGATGTAGCTTTCTGACTGACTTCACAGAGCATGTGACACAGCAGTGATTTAGAGCAAGCTGGATGAAATCAAATGGCACAGACTGGTGTGATGTAGATAATAAAAATTTCCCTTCCACCCCTTATTTGTCATTTCAGATAAAAAAATCTTGTTTGGAGGGGATAACTATTTTCTTTAAAGCTATTTTATTTAAATTATTTTTTTATTTTTTTAGTGTAGAAATGTTTTAGCAAACAAAGGTAGAGAGAATAGTATAGTGAGCTTCCATACTAATCAATTAACTATTACCAACATTTTGCTGATATTTTTATTTCTCTTTTTTCTTCCTCTTTCCTATTATTTCAAAGCAAATCCCAGACATCATGTCACTGCTCAGCATGCATCTCTAACTGATATATTGCATAACAGGCATGCCATTACTCAAATTCCTTACTATCATGTAATACTGAGTCCATATAAATATCCTCTGTTACCTCCCAATTTTTACCCTGACCTAGATCCAGACCATCTCTAGCCCTTTAGAACTCTCACTTCTGGGGCTCAGTAGTTCAATAAATAGCACAAGTGGAGAGCATCTTTGTTCTTTTATTTTTTGGTCCAAAGTACCAACTTAAATCCATAATTTCCAAGTTTCTCTAATTCTGAGTTTTGCTGCCACTACTTAGGGTGGTATTTAAATATCTGAGAAGTCAGAGTAAAGCCAAGCTATTTGAGTAGCAAGTCAGAGATTAAATTTTAGAATTTATTCTGCTTAGAGTCTCTTTCCCTAGCTCTTTGAGAGACATGAGCAGGAAGTGGACTGAGCTGTTGATTAAAAATCAGGATTTTCTTATAGAAAGTTAAGTGTTTCCATTAAGAGAGCATGTTTGTTTACATTTTCAAGCAATCTGTTGCAGCATTAGTTGTAGCAAGTTGCCAGTTCATGCCTTCAATAAACTTGTATTTTATGCCAATTATGTGCAAGACACTGTCTTAGTAAGAAAAATACACAATATAAAGCAAGAAGCTCTGTACAGAAAGTAAAGTACAGTGGGAATTCCGAAGCAAACTATTTTTTATTTGGGTTGATAACAGACAAAATAGAGCATTTTGGATGGAGTAAAGAGAGCAAGCAAAGGCACAAAAGTAGAAAACACAAAACATGGTGAGTAATGGGGAGGTCAGCCTGGTGAATATGACATTCTTCAGGTCAAACATCATGCATATCGTGACTAGTCGTGCAGATAGGTGGAGATACTATGTAATCACCCAGTAAGCAGAGATTCCAGTAACTGCTATCAGCCACTGCTGCCAGGAACTACTGATTGGGCAGCATGTTTATAATGTCAAGACAATGATTGTTAATATGTGACCAACCAAGAAGACTGATCCCTGGAGGAGGCATCTAGTACAATGTGATATAATAATTAATCCAACTGGATAATATTTTACCTTCAAACCCAACCTAATGGTTGGGTAAATAGGCAAACAGATACTGTTCCTTTGAGAAGAATTCCTTTGCAAATGAAATAAGATTGATAGTACAAGTTTTTCAATGAAGCTTCTTTTTGCTAAGGAGCTGAGTTTTTTCCTAGATCTTTCATATGGCAACCTTATATGATTTTTTGTTCTCTTTTCGAAAGCAAAACACTAAAATTATGACTTTAACATAGAAATATCAAAACTTTCTTGATCCGAACCAAAGCTTACAACTATGTTACCTTTCAACCAAAGGATCCATTAAGTGTTGTGGATGTGGGTTTGCTTTGTTGCCTTCAGCACTAAACTAGAAAGTCCTGGATCCCAGAATGACTTCCTATTAGGCTAGCTCTGTGTCCTAGCCTAGGGCATGTGCTTTATGGAGGCCTAAGAAAAAACCTGTTCTCTTATTCCTCAACATTATTTAGATATGCATTTCCAGCTAACATTTGTTGTGTGTTTATTATGTACATGGCACTGTGTAAGGCGTGTCTTATAAGCATTATTTGACTTAATCCTCACAACAACTCTATGACAAAGGTTATTATAATTTTCTCCATTTCAGAGATGAGGAAACTGAGGCTTAGAGAAGATTAGTAATTTGCACCAGGTCACGTAGTAGCTAATAAGTAGAAGGACTGGTTTTGAGCCCTGCTGGTCTATTCTGGTGAGGCCATAGGCATCTGAGCTGGGACGGAGGCCTGTGAGTTACCATGGAAAGTGGGTAAGAACAGCCTATTGCTTCCTTCTGCCCCTCTGTCTCTTCAATTCCCACTTTACTCTTCCTCCTGATTCTTTACTTCTTACTATTTGTTTTTACCTCAAGTCCCTGTTTCTTGTGTATAATTATTTTTATTTACATATTCATTTATTTCCTTGTTCAGTCATTGATATACTTCTAGGGTGCTAGGCCTTATTAGTAAATTGTAAGAAGAGCTGGCAAGTGAATGAATGAATATAGTATGCGCACGCATGCTCGCGCGTGTGCGCACACACACACACACACACACACACACACACAATACTGGGTTACTTTTGAGAACACAAATATGAAAAAAACAAAACAAAAAACAATTAAAAATATGAGGTCTGGGAAATGGTGCTTGAGTTGTGCCTTGAAGGAAGAGGAATGGGGCAGGTGAAGAAGTAGGAAGAATTTTCCAGGCAGACACACTAGCTTTTATATAGTCACCACATTGGGGAAACAGTCAGCAAAGTTGAGACCTGCTGGTGATTGGAGATGGCTGGAATGAATGCAGAGGCTTTCCTGGGAGTGCTGAGAGATGAAGCTACAGAGATAGACAAGGGCCAGACCATGAAGCACTGTGTACTATGTTAAAGAGTTTGAATGTCAGCCTGAAAGTTACATGAAATCATTGAAAAGTTTTAAGTTAGAGAAATGCATGTTTTTGTATATTAAAATACCATTCTGGCTGTAATCCTCACTTGCATAGCTAATTTCTCTGCTTGGAATAGAAGGCCCTACATTTTCACTGAGATTATACACTACCTTGAGAGATTTCAAATCCTTTAATCACTCTGTGATTTTCCTGATAAAAAAATCTGAGTCTTCCATCCTACTAATTTCTGATCTCCTAAGTTCTGGGTGCAAGGCAGTCTTTGCAAGTTGGTCCTTAAATATTCATTCACCATAGTCTGCTTGCTAAACGTAAGATGCTCACATTTCATTTGAACATTCAGATCCCAATTTCTCTAACAACTCTCCTCACTCACATTATCACATCTCTCTAGATTACGGGCTACTGAATTATTATAATCATTTTCCAAGTTTTCTTCGCCTTTGCTGTTGCAGCACCTGAAGTCTGAGGGAGTTCAGATGAATTGCTCTGCAGAGGACAAATCCATTGAGTCAAGTAGAAGGTATGCTGTTGGGGCAGGACCAGCAGGTGGCATCAAATAAGCTGCATCCAAAATTTAAATATCTTTAACCAAGATGCAAATATAATTTCTAGTATATTGTACATATTGGCATTTTAAACCACCATCATTATAATATTCTACTAATGGCCTGGCTCATAAAATTCATGCACAGTGGGAAGGGGGGGGGTGTCCTCAGCCCAGCCTGTACCCTCTCCAATCTGGATGACCCCTTGAAGGATGTCCTACTGCTGGTTTACAGGTATTGGGCCTAAACCAGCAGTCGGACATCCATCCACAATCTGGGACTGCTGGCTCCAGCCACTCATCTGCCTGCCTGACTGCCTGATTGCCCCTAACCAATCTGCCTGCCGGCCTGCTCTCCCCCAACTGCCCCCTGCCGCCAGCCTGCTCACCCCCAAATGCCTCCTCCCGCCAGCCTGATCACCCACATCCTGGCCTGATCACTTCCCCCTGCCCCACAACCCAAGCTCCCACCCCCTCTTTTTTTTTTTTAGCACCTCCTTGAATGGAGGCTAGGGCTGGCTGGAAGCAATTATCTTCTATAATTGAAACTTTGTAGCCTTGAGCAGAGGCCAGGGCCAGCCAGGGTGGGTGAGAAGTTTGGCTTTCTCCATCACCAGGGCAACCCAAGCCTTCTGCTCACTCCAGCTCCAAGGCTACATGGATTTTGGTTAGGTTAATTTGCATACTCAACTCCTGATTGGCTGATGGGTGTGGCTTGTGGGTGTAGCGGAGGTATGGTCAATTTACATGTTTCTCTTTTATTAGTGTAGATTTTAAGCTAATAATGTTGAATGCAAATAAAAGTTCTACATTTTATATTCCCCACATTTTGTTTTTAGTGTCACAATTTACATATTTTATATTGTGTATTCATTAACAAATTATTATAGTTATAGTTATTTTTAATACTTTTTGTCTTTTAACCTTTACACTGTAGTTATAAGATATTAGAGTGACTACCATTACAATATTGTAGTATTTTGAATTTAACTGTATAATTACCTTTACCCTATAAGTTTTATATTTTCATATGTTGTTTTTGTTGTTGTTGTTAATGCTCATCTATGGATATTTTTCCACCGATTTTTTAGAGAAGATAGTGAGGAGGGGAGAGTCAGAGAGACAGAGAAATATTGATGTGAAAGAGACACATTGACTAGTTGCCTCCTGTGCAAGCACCAGCCAGGACCAAGGATTGAGCCTGCAACCAAGGTACCTCTCCTTGACCTGAATCTTACCTGGGACTTTTCAGTCACAGGCTGATACTCTATCCACTGAGCCAAACCCACCTGGGCATATCTTTTAATATCTTTCTTGTTACTAATTGGCATTAATTCTTTTTAGCTTGAAGAAATCCCCTTAAAATTCCTTATAAGGCTACTGGTAATCTAGTGGTGTTGAATTCCTTAAGCTTGTTTGAAAAATTCTTTATCTCTCTTTCAATTCCAAATGATAACTTTGTCAGATAGAGTATTTTTGGTTGGCAGTGTTTTTCTTTCAGCAGTCTGGATATGTCATGCTACCCCCTTGTGGATTGCAAACTTTCTCCTGAAAAATTTGCTGGTTGGTTTATGGCAAGCATGTCAAATTCAAAGGCTAACGTGGGCCAAATAAACAAGGCATGCAGCCCGTGGGATGCAAGTTTGATATGCTTAGGTTCCCTTATACTTAACAAGTTGTTTTTCTCTTACTGATTTTAAGATTTTATTTTTTTACTTTTAACTTTTGAAAATTTTCTTATAATGTGTCTCAGTATGGGTCTCTTTAGATTTATACTTTTTGGTACTTTTTTGAGCTTTCTGAATCTGGACGCTTGTTCTCTTCTGAGGGGTAGGAAAATTTTCAGCTATTTTAAAAAATTTCTTTATTGATTAAGGTATAACATATATGTTCTCATCTCTCCATTTTTTTTCTTTGTATAAGTTTTTGTCTCTTTTTTCATTCCCCCTCTTTTTGGTTGATGTTGTCTCATAAGTCTCTTAAGCTATGTTCACTCTTTTTCATTCTTTCTTCTTTTTGCATTTATGACTAAATGAATTCCACTGTCTTGTTTTTAAATTCATTGATATTTTTTCCCCACCAATCTGGTCTGCCCTTGAATCCTTCTAGTGAGTTTTTCAGTTCAGTTATTGTATTCTTCAACTCTATGATTTATGTTTGGTATATTTTTATATTTTTGGATATTATTTTTTATTTTTATTGTCTAAAGCACATGTGTCAAACACAAGGCCTGCGGGCCAAATCCGTCCTGCCAGGCCTTGCAATGTGGCCCGCACCGCGCTGTCATCACTGCACTCCGCTGTGTTTCCATCACAATGACAGTTTATGACTGTTCAGTAAACCATTCGGCCCGCGATTTAGGCTGGATTTTAGATTTTGGCCCCTTCTCTGATTGAATTCGACACCCCTAGTCTAAAGTTTCACATATGTCTCCTTTTCCTACAATTGGACCCCTCCTCCCCCCGCTATTCCCATCCCAAGCAAGCCACCATCACCCTCTTTCCTGTGTCCATTGGTTATTCTACTATACATGCTAACCCCTCTCTCCTTTACCATTTGTCTCTGGATCTATTCTTTTTCATCAAATTATGTTGATTATTCTATCCCACATATGAATGAGATAATTATTTATCTTTCTTTGACTGGCTTATTTCACTTAGCATAATTCTCTCCAGTTCCATCCATGCTGTTGCAAATGGTAAAAGTTCCTTCTTTTTTATAGAGGCATAGTATTCCATTGTGTAGATGTACCACAATTTTTCAATCCACTCTTGCTGATGGGTACTTAGGCTATTTGCAAATCCCAGCTATTGCTAATTGTGCTGCTATGAACATAGGGGTGCATATATACTTTCTGATTGGTGTTTCTGTTTTCTGGGGAAATAGTCCTAGAAGTGGGATCACTGGGTTAAATGGGAGTTCCATTTTTAACTTTTTTAGGAAACTCCATACTGTCTTCAACAGTGGCTATGCCAGTTTGCATTCCCACCAGCAGTGCAGGAGTGTTCCATTTTCTCCACATCCTCACCAGCACTTATTATTTGTTGATGATAGCCATTATGACAGGTGTGAGATGGTATCTTATTGTTTTGATTTGCATCTCTCCTATGATTAGTGGCTTTGAACATATTTTCAAATGTCTCTCAGCCTTCTGTATGCCCTCTTTTGAAAAGTGTCTATTTAGATCCTTTGCCCATTTTTTGATTGGATTGTTTATCTTCCTTTTGTTAAATTATATGAGTTCTCTGTTATCTTTGTAGATTGTCTTATCTGAAATATCATTGGCAAATATGTTCCCCCATGCAGTGGGCTTTCTTGTTGTTTTATTGATGATTTATTTTGCTGTGCAGAAGCTTTTTATTTTGATATAGTCCCATTTCTTTTTCTTTTTAGTCTTATTGTCCTAGGACTTGTGTCTATAAAGATATTGCTACAACATATGTCTGCTATTTTGCTGCCTATGGAGTCTTGTAGGGTCTTTATGATTTCCCTGTCTTAAATTTAAGTCCTTTAGCCATTTTGGCTTTGTTTTTGTGTATGGTGTAAGGTGTAAGTTGGTGGTCTAGTTTTACTTTTTTTTTTTTTTTTTTTTTTTTGCATGTATCTGACCAAACGTCCCAGAACAATTTATTGTAAAGACTGTCTTGACTCCATTGTATGCTCTTCTCTCCTTTATCAAATATTAATTGAGCATAATGGCTTGGGCTGACTTCTGGGTTCTCTGTTCTGTTCTATTGGTCTATATGTCTGTTCTTGTGCCAGTACCAAGCTATATTACCAACTGTGGCTTGGTAATATAGCTTGGTATCTGGTATTGTG